TGAAATGAACGTGGTTGTATGTTACATACAAACAGACATACATAAACAAAAATAAAAGTTATATATGTACATACAAACATATGTAAAGCATTTAGTATATGTAATGTATTTACTAACTTATATGTACGCACATAGATATGTATATTTATGTACATATTGACATAAATCCGAACCATGTTGCTTGACTGTTTTTTTTCTCCTTTCATGTTGTTCCATTGTTTAGCTTCATATCATGACAGTTTTGAAAGTAATCATGACTAATTCCTATTTGTTTTATGTGCTCTGCTTCTCTAGTCATCCTTTCAGCATCAGAAGGAAAAAGGATGAGCAACAGAGTATGTATTACGAACATAGCTATTTGTAAATATGTAGTAATACTTTACCAACGGCATTAGTAGTTAGAGGTCAGAGCATATAGTGGAATCAAGAAGACATTCTATGTAAAGTACATGTCAGAAGGCCAATGATTATGAAAAACAAAACTAAAACCCTTGGTAATGACTTAGTTGACCCAATTTTGTTGGCTCTGTTTATGTACATATATTGCGTGTTTTATACATACATGTAGTATAATTGTTTTCCCTTTTGTGTCTCATGATATTAAAATGGGAATAGTTTTGCTGGTATAGCCATGACTCTTAAACAGTTTATTTGTCAGCAATGTCATCAAGCTATATTTTGTTTCAAAATAAGTTTAAGTACAACGAAATAATCGGACAGGCATCTCGAAATATTCGTCGTAGAGTCCACTTATTTAATTCGGAAATCGGTATTTCCGGAGATGTGGGCATCTACAGTTCCGTTGGAACCATTGTATTTTCTAATAATTTATTATAAATTATTAAGGCAATATGGGTGACAGTGTAAAGCATTTGAAAATTTCAAAATTATAATATTCTTATAAAATATGTCCATACTTTCTGAGATATGTTTTTTTATAAAAAACAACAAACCGGGATTCAGCCTGAATATTTTGCAATAACAATTTTAAACCAGTACGGAAAGTTCAAAAGTCGGACGGGGCCGACTATATGATAACCTTCACCACTATGGGTACATACAAGAGGCGCTAATATATACAATATCCTGTAGATAGAACAAACATATCATCTTTAGAGGGCCTTGAAATTGGAATCGGGCAAATTTAAATGTGTGATCTACATAGACATTTGACCCTATTACAAAACCCCATAGACATACCATTCTGCAATCTATGAAAAATTCCGTGTCAATCGGGAAGACTTGGATTCTTTGGTGTACCATTTGTATAAAACCGAGCAAAATTATGTATGTATGTAAATCTGTACCTAATTGAACAACGGTGGCATATTTTGTATGCTGTAGCACAAAGCGCCGCCCACAATTTGATCTCGTGTATATGGAACAGACGTAGGCTCCATCTAGACTCAATGCAGTACGCTATACCATATTTCGTGCAAATCGAAAAAAATAATGGGGACATGGTGTACCATTAACATATCTAAATCTGAACCGATTTTCCCAAAACTTAAGACACATCATTCTAGACTTAATTCTGTACGTTATGCCAAATTTCGTGCCAATCGGAAAATTTATAGGGTCTTTGGTGCACCATTTACATTAAATTGGGCGAAAATATATATTGCAGCTATATCCGATTTTCCCAAAACTTAAGACACATCATTCTAGACTTAATTCAGTACGTTATGCCAAATTTCGTGCCAATCGCAAAATTTATAGGGTCTTTGGTGCACCATTTACATTAAATTGGGCGAAAATATATATTGCAGCTATATTCGATTTTCCCAAAACTTAAGACACATCATTCTAGACTTCGTTCAGTACGTTATGCCAAATTTCGTGCCAATCGGAAAATTTATAAATTGGGCGAAAATATATATAGCAGCTATATCTGAACCAATTTTCACGAAACTTAGCACACATCATTCGAGACACAACTCAACCCGCTATGCCAAATTTCGTGCAAATCGAAGGAAATGTAGGAGCTTTCGTACACAATTTACATAAAATCGGACGAAAATATATATGGGAGCTATATCTATATCTAAACCGATTTTCCTAAAAACCTAACACACATCATTCTAGACTTAATTCAGTACGTTATGCAAAATTTCTTGTCAATCGCAACATTTTTAGGGGCTTTGGTGCACCATTTACATTAAATCGGGCGAAAATATATATGGGAGCTATATCTAAATCTGAACCGATTTTCAGATCCTCTTCCCGTTTAAACTTTCGTGGTGTGAGGATCATAAATAGGGAATGTTCGTATATGATCCTCACACCACGAAAGGAATGTCCCCGTGTAAAATTTCGTAGTATTTGGTTCATAATTGCGGTTTTTAGAGCGACTAGAAAAACATAAATATTACGTTTTTGTTTCATATGATCCTCTAAATATTTATTGATGGCTGTCGTGCGATTAGTCAATAACTATATGGTGTAAAGAGAAAACATAGACGATGGTTCCAAAAACGCATCGGATTATAATTAAGCTTACTGAAAAAAAATTGTAATCATACAACTGGATGCAAACTTCATACTGAACGAAAATATAGAAATTTATGAAAACGCTATAGACGTGGTAAGTAATCTAAGTTCTGATTAATTTGATGTATTTGCAATGCATTTATTTTTCAAATTACAATACATTTTGACGAGCAGATTTTCTCACTTACCCCATTCCTTTTTTTATGTTGTTGTTTTTTGCATTTTTCAATATTTTCATGGCGAATCCTCTTGTGTTTAAAATATTTTCGCAAATGGTTAGCTTTTTATAATTTAAACAGCATTAAATACAAATTCTTTTATTACAATATATTTTAATTTTACATTTTGACTGGTTAAAGTAAAAAAATGCAATTATTGTGAATTGTCAATCAACGGTATATGACAAACCAAACAAATAAACCAATATTGTGAATTGCCGTAGGTTGTCGATAATACAGTTTTACAATGATAATGCAGTTTTGCCTACATAGAAATATAACATATAAAAAAATATATGAATCTAATTAACACTAGAACGCCGAAGGCAGTCATTTTGACCGCTTTCCTATTTCAAGTACAAAAGCAACTGTACATTTAATGACACTTTTTTTTTTAAAAATATGGTGACTTTTTGTACGTCATAGAATTACGTTTATTATAAAAAATTCACCAAATTTTAAAAAAAGTGTCATTAAATGCACAGTTGCTTTTGTACTTGAAATTGGAAAGCGGTCAAAATGACTGCCTTCGACGTTCTAGTGTTAAAGTTGCACTCCTCGACAACCTGTTCTTAATTTCACGTGTGGAATTTAATGTCGATTGAAAGAAATATAATATTCAATATGCGAAATTTTTTGGTGTGTTACAGACAAGGCTTTATTGATGCATATCAAAACTATCAAACCTTCTATGTTTATAAAGGAACAATAAAATATGTATTAATAATTTTGTTTTGCAGTTTCTGGAACTTTTTTAATAATGTTCATACTATTTATATCAGCATTATATAATGTGTCGATAACCTATTTTCACCAATAGATGTCAACGTTTATAATTGAAATAGTTTTGCGAAATCAACTAGATAACAAATGACAATTCCATAGCGTATATGTGAAAAAATAATCCACTAGATTTGTGAAAAAGATTGACGTGACGTATACGCTATGGAATTGACTTTTGAAATCGAGTTCTTCACACGATATATGTAATTTATTAAACATTTTGCAAAGGAACCTCTGCTTAAGTTGATTTCAGGGGTTCATCTCCGATTTTTCTGAAAGTTTTTACACATAGGAGGCTGTTAAAAACATGTTAATTTAAAATAAATTTTCGATCCCGTTGCCGAATTTTCCACCTGTCCATAGGAGAAAGTCTTAAATCCCTTGCCCACAGTAGACGATCTACGAAAAGGTTTAATATAAAAGGGGCTTTGAATAGCGTAGGAAAATTTCTCACCTGTCCAGAGGAGAAAGTATTAAATTCTCTGCTTTAGGAAAATACAGTAGCCGAATTTTCCACTTGTCCATAAGATAAAGTCTAAAATCCTGGCCGAAGGCCTTTGTGGACCATCATTGGTTATGAGAATGTGAATTTCGGAACATCAAGGTTCCATATCGCGGGATGTATGTTATCCGAGATGAGTACTTAACTGCACATGCTCCGGATCGTCTTTCTATATAAAGGACCCAATTTTATAATTTTATGAAAAATTCGTGATTTATTTGGTGCTTTTATTTTGAAACCCTCTGAAGAATTTTTATTTAAATAAAGTGGCAAGTCACGTCCAAAAATGAGTATGTACACATAAATTATTTTAATACCATAAATTACATGATTTTGACAATTCTAACAACATTGATTGATTTGATACTTTCCAACACTATTTCGTTGTCACCCTGTTTTCTATTACGTTTGCCGGCATCGATAAAACCATCTCCTATCAGCTGTTCACTAAATGTCGATAACAATGTTTATTGCAATTGTCAAAATCAGAATGACGTATGACGTTCAATTGTAGTCTGTTTTTTATCAGAGTTGTAGCACTAAATTCCGTACGTGTCGTATTCAGTTTAAAGCGGACGGGTCGGGTAGTGTTCCATTTCTTACAATTTTAAGACCAATCAGAATTATTATATTTTGCTAACTAGAAAAATACCCATCCCATTTGGCATATCAGTAATTTTGTCAAAATTTTACGTTTTTCTTTTCGAAACATAAAAAAATAATTTGTGTTTTTCTGAAAGGCCATTACTTTTGTTGGGAAATGCAAGTAGTAGTGCGCTGGGTGCTGTGTGTGTAGAAAGAAGAATTCGGAAAAAAGCATAAAAAAAGAAGTGACGGAATTTTTCCAAAAATAAGTTATCTCTCGGGTTTGCCTGATTGTCGTTGTGAATCATAAAACAAACAACTAAACTACTCACTACACACTAATATCAGTGTTCAATTTTTGGGGCGGTACAGAAAAAACTGCACTATCAGAAAATAATAAAAAAAATTCGAAGGAAGAAGAACAACATAAAATTTCGTCAAAATGTTTAGTTTTTTGAAACGTGAAAAGAACAACCAGGAGGTGGTGGAGAATGTCATCGGTGAACTGAAGAAAATCTACAAAAGCAAATTGTTGCCTTTGGAGGAGCATTATCAGTTCCATGACTTCCACTCTCCCAAATTGGAGGATCCTGATTTCGATGCCAAGCCCATGATTCTGTTGGTTGGCCAGTATTCAACAGGTAAAACCACTTTCATTCGTTACTTGTTGGAACGTGATTTCCCTGGCATTCGCATTGGCCCCGAACCCACCACCGATCGTTTTATTGCCGTCATGCACGACGACAAGGAAGGTGTCATCCCTGGTAATGCTTTGGTTGTTGATCCCAAAAAACAATTCCGTCCGCTAAGCAAATACGGCAATGCCTTCCTGAATCGTTTCCAATGTTCGTCGGTCAACTCGCCAGTATTGCAGGCCATTTCCATTGTGGACACCCCCGGCATTTTGTCAGGTGAAAAGCAACGCATTGATCGTGGCTACGACTTCACAGGAGTTTTGGAATGGTTTGCCGAACGTGTTGATCGTATCATTTTGTTGTTCGATGCCCACAAATTGGATATTTCCGATGAATTCCGTCGTTCGATTGAGGCTCTGAAGGGACACGACGACAAGATTCGCATTATCCTCAACAAGGCCGATATGGTTGATCATCAACAGCTGATGCGTGTCTACGGTGCTCTTATGTGGTCATTGGGCAAAGTTTTGCAAACACCCGAAGTGGCCCGTGTCTATATTGGCTCGTTCTGGGATCAACCTCTCCGATTCGATGCCAATCGCCGTCTATTCGAAGATGAAGAGCAGGATCTCTTCCGTGATTTGCAATCACTGCCACGCAATGCAGCTCTGCGTAAACTTAACGATTTAATTAAACGTGCCCGCCTCGCCAAGGTTCACGCCTTCATCATTTCGGAATTGCGTAAGGATATGCCATCGGTGTTCGGCAAGGATAGTAAAAAGAAAGATTTGATTAAGAATTTGGGTCAAGTCTACGATCGTATTCAACGTGAACATTCAATTTCCCCTGGTGATTTCCCAGATATTAAGAAAATGCAAGAAGTCCTACAGCATCAAGACTTTACGAAATTCCATTCGTTGAAACCACATCTGCTGGATATTGTCGATAATATGTTGGCAAAGGATATTGCCAAATTGATTGAGATGATACCACAGGAAGAGATGACAATGGTGTCGGAGCCAATGGTTAAGGGTAAGCTGGGTTTTAGAATTTTTATTATTTGTTATTGGTATTAAAATATTAAAAATTGTAAAAAAATGACACAGTGTTTTCACCTTTTTAAAAAGCTTTTTTTATTCCTGTGGAGTTTGTTCTACATATAGCTACTGTTTCGGTTAAATTATACTTTGAAAAAATCTTCGATGTTTGAGGTTTGGGTTATGGAATTAATTCCCGAAACATCAAGAATTTTTCCTTTATGTAGATTGTTTTTATTCACTTACTTCGGATTAAAGAAAATTCGACTTATGGAAAATCGACTGTACAACAAAAACCTCTGTATACAAATTTTCAACTTTAGCAGCACCGGTTACTTGCTTGTCATGCAAAAATTTGCACCTATGGAATGTAATTTTTTTTTGTAACACATTGCACTTTTCTTTTCGAATACTTGTCATTTCCAAATGAATCATCATTGTTCGTTCACACGTGAATTGTCACATACCTATATAGCTTTGACTTTTGACAAGTAGCCCTAGTGACTTTGAAATATCTGAACAATTACGTTACACTGTGTAATTTTTGACTCAACATTGAATGGAATTAATTAAATTTGAATATTGAATATAGATTAAATGCAAGTATGATTTTTCACATTATATTTTATTTTGAGGTTGAAATGTTAGGAAAATGGAGTATCGATTGTCCGCGAATTCCTGCTATTAATTACTTGAAATATTGGTCGAAACCCCCATTGTAGATAGATTTGCCTAAAATTTTAAGAATGCACAACGGCCTATACTTATGGATGAAGCCCAAATTTTCGATTCTACCTATTCCGATGATAATACCAAACCTGTAGTCTCGGCGGAATGGGCCTAGGAATTTGAAAAGGGTATCCAGAGAAAAAATGTTGCTACCTACCTATATTGGCTTTAGCCATAAGTCTATGGGCCATAGAATTGTAGAAGGACGGACAATTTGTCGTGACATGGCACGACAGATAACATGCTAAAAAGAACTGTTTAGTCAACAACACATGTTGCTTGACTGACAGTATCTTGGTCTCCTTATGGAGGTGATCGACGCTCATCATCTGAACACTCGTTTGAAATTCGCAGTGCATTATTTTGAGTAGTTTGCAATGATCTCCTCCTCTCCTCTAATTAAGGATGGAAAAACCTTATATGTCGTTACCAACGTTTCTTTATCCTTGCACCAGGAGGTGTCAGACAAAGCTTTCAGAACTTTATTTCTAGCTTTCACCTTCTGGTTGATGTAGTTGTTGAAGTTCTTCTACTCAATTGGACGACGACTCAATACAACGTGCCGGACAGAAGTCCTATATTGTATGATAACTTCGCGTCTCCTGATCTCAATTGTGTCAAAAGCATCTTAGTATTTCGAGGTAGCAATTGTTCTTCCGCTGTCGGCAGATCTCCACGTAATTTGCTGTGACTACGTTGAAGCAATTCTTTATTTCACAGATATGACAGTTGATCTGATATCCTCCCTTTAGATTGTAAAGATCTTTGGTGGTGCTTGCGTACCCACAAGGAGGTGACTTTAATGCCTGTTTCTGTAGCACCCAAATTGATACTGTATCAACAACTGGAAACAGTTTGGAAACTGGTATTTCGCTAAAATATTGTTGTGGACCTTTAAGCATCAAAAAGTAACATCAAGCTAATGCGGATTTCATACATTTTCAGTTTATGAATTTCTAGTTCAAGTACAAGAATGTAATAACGCCTATTTTGAATTTTCCATTTCTTTTGGTATCTCATACACTGCGTATCATAACTATAGACGCACCCTTAATTCAATTGGTATGTTAGTTGAGAAATAAAATGGACCCATTAAGTTATTGTTCACAATAAAACGATCAAAAACACATATTATTGAACAAAAATAATTAATTTATTCTTTATGGTTTCGCCGAATTCTGCACTTTCAAAATTGATGGTGTTGCATAACTATAGACGCACTTTTACAAAATTAGAAAAAATTATTTTTTAAAACTTAAATAAAATAAAATTACTTTTATAAATAATGGGTAGGACCTCCCTTATTTTGAATAAGTTCAAAAATTTTATCCATCACACTGTTGATCAAAATTATTCGCAAGTCTTCATCGATTGACCGCCATTCATCGAAAATCACTTCTTGGAGGTAAAATACAGTTTGGTATTGGAGGTTTTCGGCATAGACACGATGAGTCAAGATTCCACACATGTTCTCGATCGGATTCTGGTCGGAAATTTTAATATTTTTCGATTTTAACCATACTTGAGTATGGCGACTTTATGAACTGGTGCGTTGTCCTGCTAAAAAACGAGTCCTTGATTGTTGCTACTTTCCCAAAATGGCAATAATTTGTCTTCCAAGACTTGAACGTACTCCTTTGAATTCATTCGACAACATGGAAATGTCAAATAAAGGCTATAAAATGCTCCCAAGGCCATTAAGGAACCGCCACCGAAATATCGTATTAAGAAATAACGATATTTCGGTAACCGCCACCTTGGGAGCATTTTATAGCCACGGAATGCTTTATTTGACATTTCCATGTTGTCGGATGAATTCAATGGAGTACGTTCAAGTCTTGGAAGACAAATTATTGCCATTTTGGGAAAGTAGCAACAATCAAGGACTCGTTTTTTAGCAGGACAACGCACCAGTTCATAAAAGTTGCCATACTCAAGTATGGTTAAAATCGAAAAATATTAAAATTTCCGACCAGAATCCGATCGAGAACATGTGTGGAACCTTGACTCATCGTGTCTATGCCGAAAACCTCCAATACCAAACTGTATTTTACCTCCAAGAAGTGATTTTCGATGAATGGCGGTCAATCGATGAAGACTTGCGAATAATTTTGATCAACAGTGTGATGGATAAAATTTTTGAACTTATTCAAAATAAGGGAGGTCCTACCCATTATTTATAAAAGTAATTTTATTTTATTTAAGTTTTAAAAAATAAATTTTTCTAATTTTGTAAAAGTGCGTCTATAGTTATGCAACACCAGCAATTTTGAAAGTGCAGAATTCGGCGAAACCATAACGAATAAATTAATTATTTTTGTTGAATAATATGTGTTTTTGGTAGTTTTATTGTGAACAATAACTTAATGGGTCCATTTTATTTCTCAACTAACATACCAATTGAATTAAGGGTGCGTCTATAGTTATGATACGCAGTGTATGTAAATACGAGTACATATTTATGTTCACATTTTTTATACATATGTACATTGGATGAAAGATTAACCCAAATAGAAAAGTCAAATCTGTAAAACATAATGATAGTAGACAATTGAACATTTTTTGTTGTTTTCAAATATTTACCTTTAGATATTCTCTAGCCTCCAGTTGTATGTGTGTAATTAAAAACCGCTGATATATATTTTTTTCGCTCTTTGTACTATCGCTTAAGCAATTGACCCAGTTGATAGTTAAGCACAAACAAACAAATATAAAGAAACACACACACACGCACACACAGATAACATATATCTATGTTTATAAAAAAATTTTGGAATTACAACTGAATTTGAAGTGAATTTTATTTATAAAACAACAACAAATTCTTCACAATGCAAGTTCACAAAACAATTGGTTTTTTTCATTTTGAGAAAGTTGAAGAATTTGATGAAAAATGTCGGAAAGAAACGTTCGCTTTGGAGAGCTTTATTTTTTAATTATATTGTTATTATTTTTTGTTGAAATTCTAACAATGATGACACAATTTCAGGTAATGAATTGCGTTAGGTGCATGTAAATTGACCATGAAATCAATTCTATCTCAAAAACCCAATATGTATGTTTATTGAAATTTGCTATAGACTTTGATGATCATTTGATTGCTGCCGTATCGGTTGTTTGTTTGATGCTTCGGCATTCGATTTTGTTACCTACATTATCTAAACCTTTGAGTGATATCAGCAATAATGAATGTATAATTTGTGTGCCAACCGAAATGGGAATGTGTATTAGGATACAATCTATGATTATTCAAATATATGGACAATTTTTTTTAAATTTTATATGCCCTTGCTATACCTCGAAGTATTCACCGGCGACCCCATAGAATATTTATTATTTTTTAGAGTAAAATTCTATATCGATGAAAAATTCTAAAAAGTTTGGATATTTGGTTCGCGTTTTGGTAAAGCCCCCCATATAACGATCCACCACCAATATTCGGTAGGCATGTAAATTCAAACGAATTGGTCGTAATTTAATATTTTTTGGGTTCACATTAGCAACATACCGGACATAAGGACTGAATTCACTCTTGAATTGGTTTCTAGCTGCATCGGTGTGAATACATGTCAACCCTGCCCGACAGTTGATCTGATATCCTCCCTATATAGATTATAAAGACCTTCCGTGACGTGCGTAGATGAACTGAATGACTGTTTCTGTATCATATATTGTATCGACAACATATGGTTGCTTTGATGCACAGGGTAGGATTTATTCTTCTCATGTAAGTGGTCTATCTGAGTCATTAGAAGACACCCTGTTGCATCTTGGCTGGATCGTAGTTATAATCAATTGGTTTGGATCCAGTTGTTACACCTCCGCTATAAGAAAGAGTTTATATTAAATTTGTCATTCCGTTTGCAACACCTCGAAATATTGTTCAGAATAAAATTTTATGTCGATTTATGAATGTCAGCCTGTCTGTTGAAATCACTATATAGCTCGCAATATATATGATAGAGCTTGGAAATTTTGCTCATACATAGTTACTACTCTTAGGATGTTTGAAATTGAAAATGGGATGCGTCGATCAACGTTTTGGTAAATTAGCTCCTATATAACGGCAATCTCTAAAAATTCGGAATTTTGAAGATTTCTGGCACGTTTGGTTTGTCGATAAGGCTTCTGCTCATCTATTACTATTTTAACGGATGATCTCCAAGGATTGCATCAGAGTGAATACAGGATAAACCTGATTTCTAAACGTGTTATGTCTAAAATACCACATTTTATATATCTGTTGAATATTCGTTGATTTTTCAA